GTGCATTCGGGTAGACTGAGCGACATGGCCGGCGATTGCAGCAACGGTTGATCTCGTGACGTAGGCTGCGGCGTGCAGGTAACGGAGCGGCGGCGGCGGCAATGCTCGAAGGGGGGCGAGTTTGGGTTTGAAAAGCAAATGAAAGGCTGGTGTGATTGGTACAAGTACCGGTATACAGTATTGTACCGGTATTAACTACATAGATCACATCGTGGACAATACACGGATGAGAGTTGGACAATAATTGCACTCAACGACTGGGTTGTTTTTATAAATTACCGAATGAAAATATTTTACATCATGGACATTACATGGAGTATTACATGGAAAATAAGCGGATTTGACGCATGGACTGTAGCATTTCCGTTTTTTTGCCACTAAGGCCAAAACCTGGACGCTAACGTCGAAGCATGTTGGACGTCTTATTGTAGGATAAGTATGTTTCTGACGGAGACCCCACCCCTACTGTAAGCTAAAAAAATCCACAGCCAATCGCTGGACAGCATGAACTTTTATTTGCTCAAACCACCCAATAACCGCTATTTAGGGGTAGGGGTAGTTTATTTCAGCTTATTTCCGGAATTGTCCGGCTTTCTCGAAATTTCGAGATAAGACACCTTAGTAAAATCAAGTCACATCATGTATTATCGCGTAAAAGGCGTCTGTACCAGAGAAAAAATTCATGCGGTTGAAGAGTAAATATAGACTAAAACTTCACGATGAGGCGCCATGCAACCGACCAGCTTGCATTACGCGCGAAATTCACACTGCGAGAGGCAATGAGGAGAGCTTCGCGAGGTCTGGACACTCCTGCTGGCACAATAAGGCAAGAGATTGCGGCGGAGAAAATGTTTGAGGAGTTCCTCACTTTAATAGGATTATCGAAAGTCGATTTAATGTCGCATTGGACGTCGTTGATTGCACGTTTGTATCGCTGCTAATGCACATGGATGAGGCTCGCATCCACATCGAAAACACCATCCAGCACCTCGGTCTCGTCGCGCTACATGTACGAGCTGCATCGCAGTATCGCCTCTTCCAACGCTCGTCTTGGCTCCTGCATCACGATACGAACATGCTGTGAGTGGGGGGCGTACCTGAGAGCTCACTGGAAGACGGCAAACCACGTGCAGCTTAGCAATGCCGTCGCTGGTAACGACACGCTGCTATCATCCACTCTTAACAACATGTTAGCCCAGCTTGTGAACATTAGCGAGCGACTTGGTCGCCTTGAAGACTCGCAAGCCCAGATGCAGAGCCAGGCCTTAGGGAGTACTCAGACGCAACAGCAGTCACCACAGCTACCTACTGCTGTTGAGGTTGTCGTCCCAGCTTCAGCGTCAGCCTCCACCCTTGCAGGATGCCTGCTCAACTGGTACACTAACCACATATGGCAAACGGTTAAAGGTAAGAAGGAACAAAACCAGCGTGCCGAAGCAAAGGCAGCAGTGAACATAATGATGGTACTGTACCAGAAGCCGTACCAAGTCCCAGAGGAGCCTCCACGAGCCGACGTCGCAGCTTACAGTGCCTGGAAGCACGTAGTCTGGGAGCTGGCACTCAAGCTGGATACAGCCGCTAACCAGCGTCTCCCCGCCTTCGACCAAAAGAAACCAACTCGCAAAGCTTCGTCCCTTCGCAAGCGCTGGCGCCTGCTGAGTACGTCGCATCCTGACGCGTATCGCTCGCTTGGAGCACAGTATCTTGTCTTGAAATCCAGTGGGTCCCTCGTAGATGCCTGCACACCTCCATCACATCTGTGGGCAGCAGTTGACTTGGATTGACAAGCCGTTGGGCAGCACAGTTCAGCAAACATAAGCACGAGCAAACAGCACTCACCAGCATCAACACCATTATAAGGCAGTACACCACAGTAGATAGTTCAGCAATCAGTACAGCCTACATTACAAAGCATCACACACCACACACAATGCACACAACATGTTACAGCACACAGTACACAACATAGCAGCACATGCACATGCACATGCACAGCCCAACACAACACTGCAGCATACGCACAACACACAGCACAGCACGCCCAATCCAGCAATACACGAGCAAATGCACATCACAGCATGTACATACATATACGCATCACACGCGTCGCTCCATAGCACACAGCACAGCACCAGCTATTGCAAACACACCACAGAGTACAGCACAAACACAATCCACGCAGCACAGCTTACAACTATCTGCCCCCGGCTGGATTCGAACCAGCGGCCTGGAGACGTAGTCTCCCGCTCTACCGCTGAGCTACGGGGGCGTTGGGGTCGGAGAAGGCACGCACCGTGGTCTGGAGTTGGAGCTGTGGCTGGAGGCTTAAGGGGTACGCTTGAAAATCGCTGAATGAACAGCGAAGAAGACTGTCGCAAGGTAGCCACCTATTTGCAATTCATTGAATTGTTATTTAAGCCTATCCACTGTCATCCGGAAAAATAATCCGACCGTGATTGGCCGGATTCCACCCGGCATGACTCAGTCATTCCGTATGGCGACCATCCGGACTGGTGTCCGGAATCGGCCAATTACTGTCTACAAATTATTGGCCATTTTTTGGAGCTGCTGATAATGTAGCCATGTTCCATGAAGGGTCGTAGTATGGCTAGGTCATGAGCAAGACCACAGCAAGGGAGACTTATGAAGCATTTAAGGCACGACAGCGGAGAGAATTCAACACTCGACACGCTGGACAATCCCAGACCACGCAACAAAAGCTGCTTCGAGTGCATCTCCGACACTTTTTGCTGACCATCGGAGCTGAGGTTGGTCATGAACAGCAACAAACCGAAGACCGCAAAGATCTCGTAAACCTGAAGGAAGACGTAAATGGAATCAACGAGTTTGCGAGAGAACAGAAACGTCGAGCTATTGAGCGAGAAGCAGCGGAAGCCAAGCGGAAACATTCAGCTCAGGTGATCCACAAGTTTTTACGTCCACATATACGCAACAAGGACGAGATAGAGCTCCCCTGTACCTCTGTGCTAATTCCGTTAGAAGTTGAAAAAGCTGTTGCACCTCTACAATCTACGACTGAGCTTGTTCCAGCTACGTCTGATCTCATCCCAGACCCGCCACCTCCAACGACGATGCCACCGTATGAATTGGTGATCAATGTGGCTGCTGTTCGAGACCTAACATTGGATAGCGCAACTTTAGACGGCAAATACCTCGAAACCGAGTTGCAACTAAAGCGTCAAAGTGCTGTGGTGTTTCGTGTTAGTCCAGCACGGCAACTTATGTCAAGTTTCCACAAGAGCAACACGAAAATTCAATTGCATGGCTGCACGCTGCGCTTTCCCATAGACATGGACAATAATGCCATGAGGCATAGACTCGCTTCACCTCAGAGTGTCATTGATGAATCGAGCGCTACAGTAATCGTAAAAACTACTGATAACAATGGCGGAGGCAGCGATAGTTTACTAGGTGTCGTCGAAATACCGCTATCACTACTCGAGACACCGCTGGCGACTGAGTATGCTTTGTATCGGTGGTTTCCACTTGAAAAGGCTTATCCTGGACATACAGCACGTGGTGACGTTCGCGTTAGTGTTTGTTATTTAATGCGGCAACAAAGCTCCGACGGTGTCACTATGGTACCTTACGTGAATGCAACCAGTTCAAGTACCGGTAACACAGATGGTGAAGTCGAGGGGCAACAAAAACAAAAGAAGCCACCAGAACGGCGGGTAAAGAAGGCTACAACTAAAGCAACAGGCAGGTCTTTCATGCGGAGCAGGGCGGAACAAGCAACAGACAAGTCTGAGCAGAAGAAACCTCCCGTACTATCGCTCAAAGACGCGTTTTTGAGTCCAATTGGGAGGATATCTCGCGCTGAAGCTCTATCGCCTCCACCGTCTCCGTCTTCGGTAACATCATCCGAAGCTGGTGAAAACGTTGCGTCTCCTAAGGCCGTAAAATCACGTCGGCCTTTGCTCTCATCGAAGAGACAACTGAAACCCAGCAAAGCTGTGGAGAATTCTCCACCGAAAGAGGACCAAGTGTCTGAAGCCAAAGAGAATTCCTCTCAAACACCTCCTAGAACATTTCTCAAGCGCAAACCATATAAAGTGGTCTTTCAAAAGCTAAATTGGTCCAGTGTGTCGTCAAAAACGGACAGCAACTTGCCCACAAGCAACAAAAGTCACAAAAACAATGTAGCAACTAAAACGTCGCGGCCGTCAAGTCGAGCGTCAAGTGCTTTCCTCACAACCAGCAATAACGGAGACGCAGATCAGGTGACTGAGTCCATTTTCACTCCAAAACCTGCCGCTTTCATCGATGCAGCTACTGCGGAAAGATTGGCAACTCTTGAAGCTGCGATGTACAAACAGTGCGGCGTCACGCAAGATACGGTGTCACTGGCTCGATTTAAGTATCAAAAGGAACGAAAACAGTTCGTGGCAACCCTCCACAGACAGACACAAAGAGGTACAGAGGCTGTAGACCAACCACCGAGCCAAGAGAGCAGCGAGATTGAGATTGGCACCGCGACGTCGGAAACTGCCGTGACGGAGCTTTGGAAAAAGCTTACAGGTGATTCATCGGGGCAGATCTATGCGTCCATGTTGCGAAACCTCGCAAAACTCACGGAACCTGATGTTGCCATTTAAAAAAATTAAACGGCAACTTCAACTTACCAACATAATCAAATCGAATTTATTGCGGCTGTTGGTTGTTGGTTGCAGTTTGCAATTTGCAATGAAATCCGAAAGTGGGAGGACACAGAGTCATGCCGCGGGTTATTGCCGGTGCAGGTCCACTATTTCCCCACCACTCATTTTTTCGGCGACAAACTCCCTCCCGCACGTCACATTTCGATCAGCAACCTGATTCTCTTTTTTTACTGGGTTATTGTGATGACTCCATTTAAAGTACCCCGCGCTGATTGGTCAAAATCAAAGATATCTTGTGAAGGTATCTTCATCTTTCTGTTGCTTTTCATTATCGATCTCTCTGTGTTAGACGCAAGCCGAACGGGGCTCTAGACAATCTTTCAGCAGCAGCTTTTCGGAACAACCATGTCGTGTGGCACAAGAGAGGCGCTGGTCTTTGGCATGGGGCTGATCACGGGCACAGGCACCACTCTGTACGTTGTTGCGTCATTTGCATTTCTACTTTTTGCCATCAGTTGACTGAGAAAACATTCGTTGCAACTTTCATTTGCATTTTGCCATCTTTATCTAAACCAGAACCGGCAAGGTGCGTTGTGTGTCAATAATTACTGCTAAATGATATGAGCCAGAGCTGACAAAGCGTGTTGTGGCCAGATCTTATACGGTGTGGACTCGGTTGGCCTCGATGGAGAGGTGAGGAAGTTCGAGAAGCCAATCTTCCAGACGTGGCTCATGTTTTTGGCCATGGTATTCGCACTCCCCATCCACTGGGCCTACCACTACCACGTCGAGCGGCAATGGCGCAACAACCGCAACGGCAGTAAGTGGCAAAAGTACCCATTTTTGCAACAATGTGAAACTTACCCAAAATGTTGCTGCCAAATTTTGCAAAAAGTGAAATATCGTTACCGAATTCCGCGCAAAATGTATTTCTTGCTAGCACTCCCAGCAGCTTTCGATCTACTGGCAACTTTCGTTGCCAACATCGGTCTTCTATACGTGACCGTTAGTGTTTTTCAGCTCATGAAGTGCACAGTCATCATCTTCGTGGCGCTACTGAAAGTATTTGTGCTCAAAGACCGACTACGCAGCTACATGTGGATCGGTATCGGTCTCAACATGTTAGCAGCGTTAATGGTGGGCGCTACAAGTCTCGCAGACTCCGACAGTCAAGATAACAATTCGGCCAATCAACATCCAGCATTCGGCGTATTTATGGTGGTACTTAGCTGCGCGATCCAAGCCGTACAATACGTTCTCGAAGAGAAACTCATGGACGAAGGCGACAGTGCACCGCCCCTAGTGGTCGTGGGTATGGAAGGCGTTTGGGGTTTAATACTGACGTCGTTCGTAGTGTACCCAATTGCGTATTTGGTCCCGGGCAACGATTTGGGTTCACACGAGAGATTCGACGACGCGTATCAGATGCTGATGAACAGTGGCTTGGCTCAGATGGCTGTACTCATTTATTTACTGGTGATTATGGGCTACAACGTGTTCGCCGTGTCGGTCACGTATCTTTTGAACTCAATTTGGCACGCAATTCTGGACAATTTCCGTCCAATTACAGTCTGGGCCACAGATTTGCTGCTGTTCTATTTTTTTACGCAAGGAGAATTTGGTGAACGGTGGACAATTTGGAGTTGGCTACAACTTGTTGGTATGCTGACGTTGTTAGCGGGCACGGCCGTGTACAACGGTACTCTGCGTCTTCCGGGCTTCGTGTACTTGGAGCCATTGGACGAAGCGATGACTCCGATCCGAACGCCAGAGGCTCTTACTGCGTCTGCGTTCTCACGTTCGCCGCTGATTACGCGCAACGCTATGAAGGCTGCAGAGATTGCTCGTCGGACGCCAAATCCCAATGACCGCGACCGTGTGAGACGCGAATTCATGACTGAGTATCAACCACTGGCCGATTCCGAGTCTCGACGACGCATTGACCCAGCTGGACACACGTACGGATCGCTTGAAACTTAAAATGAAAGATGACTTACCACGGTCAGCAACTTTTGAGCTTCTTTGCAAAGATACAATGTTTTTTTTTTTTTAAATTTGGTTGTTTTTTCACCGGAAGATGACAATCCACAACAGACATTTAACCAATTATGTTCGTCCATTTCGATAAAGTACCAATCAGACATATTCGAAGTGATCTTGAATGACGAACTCACATTGCTCTACTGTATTCAAACCTTTGCTTAAGTTTATTCAAACCTTTGCTTAAGTTTATTCAAACCTTTGCTTAAAAACGATAATGATTCATCATGAATGCTTTCCAGAATAAAGGATCAGTGTGTGTTAATTATCCTTGTACTTATGGAACCCTTGTAGGTCTTCCTTGGAATAACTTTCCTATCAGAGGAGAGAGCTCGATCTTTCAACGACCACCTCGACTACTTTTGCTAGCGCCGGGTCCTTATTGAAGCCGAAGAATGTTGCTCTCATCGCAGGCGTAGTCAAGTCGAGAAGCAGCACGTGGTTTATATGGACGAAATTGTTCTCAACAGGGACAAACACTCCCGGGGTTCTTCCGTTCTCGCACATTTCATCGCTGAACGAAATTGCACATAGTATGAGCACGCTCGTTACCGAACCCTCTAAACTCTTCATTTCGTCAAATTTCGCCAAAAGATTGTCGAACTTTTGGCATTCTTCAGTAACGCTTGAGTAGCCTACGCTAGTTGCAACAGCCAGACCAAGTCTCAACATCCGGAATTTCGGAGATAATATCTGCTCAAAATGACTCGTGCGCGCCATCATTATCACATCAGGAACAATTGCAAGATCCGGGGATCGGAACCAGGACCAGAATTGGTCGTCAGCGTTGTCAAGTCTGCATCGCAAATACTTTTCCAAAAGTGGCCAGTTCATTGGCTGAAATGATTCCAAATAAAATGGTTCCTCTCGGCTCACATAGTAGCAGCTAAGCCAGGGATTAGGCAGCATCTTCACTTGTGACGAAACTTGTACTCCCACAAACTCGTCAAAAACCGTAGCCTCTCCGAAAAACTGCGATAATTCCTGTCTTGGGGTGGTTTCTTTGGTAAATAACTGGCTCAATCTCTTAAGACACATCCACTGGACCACTTCCGGACGAGAAGTCACAAACACCCGCACAGTATCAAGTCCTATGAGATATTCGCGTAGTGGACGAAGCACACCTACCACAATATTCATAACCACACGGTGTGCGCTAATATGCGCGTCCTCTACTGTTCCCTCCCATAATAGATGACACTCAAACACAACAGTTCTCGCAGACACTTGATCTCCGTTGGGGTCCGTGACAGAGTGAGTAAGATTGATGCGCGATTTCTTAGACGAGTTCCATCCAAACCATTTCTTCAGTGTCGATTGCCACCAGAGCACACGTTCGTGCAGGTGGTCAAAGTCGATTGCCTTCGTGTTAAAGTCGCCTCCACTATCCACGAAATTGCAAAAAGAGGCAAACGTTGGGTAGCCCGAGATAAATTTGATAATCTTTTGAAGATGACCTGATGAGGCTGCAAACAAGCGCGTGGCTGCGTCCTCCAAATCTTCATCAGTCGATAGTTTCCAGCGAGCACTGAGTGTTCGGGTATCGGCACTTGAAACTCGTGTCTTGCACAAGATTTCTTTGATTGCATTCACAGTCATCCACTGCATCGGCAATCGCACGATCATGAAGGAGTTCAAACTGGCATCGGGAACAACGTCATGGAGAAAATCTGCATAACCGAGCACCAGAAGATGCAGCTGAGGGACCTGCGTCCACGGCGCCAGCACATACTTGCAAGCGTCCATGAAACGCTCTCGTGATACCACATCTCCACATGGGTCTTCGAATGCCTCACCGACGTCATCCAGCACAACAAACAAAGGCCCCAAAACACGTACCAACTTTGTCGCAAAATCGTACGCCGTATCGTTCGCGTTCGTAGCAGGCATCGTCCCTGGTTGGAGTAGCTCACTAATTGCCGTAGCCAGAGCTTCATTCATCGTAGCCTCCAGTAAATCGAGTGGCACTACAAACTGCTGCGGCGTCCCTCGAACAAGAACCGTTCGACACGAACACAGTTGCTTTAGAAGCTCACGCTGACTGGGGCGATGGTGCTGCGTTGGCTCCCGGCTGGTGAACTGCTGCTGGTTTTCAGGATCTTTCGGCTCCTCGTTATTAAGTGCTTGCCTGCATTGGTCGATGTACTTCCTTCCCAGTTCCGTTTTACCGGTATCATACACGCTGTCTACCAGTGGAATTTGCCACGTAATTCTTCCCGATCTGTCGCGAGCCCCGGTGTAGTTAGAATAGTGAACACTCTGTAGCTTCTTAACAGCACGACCGCGTCCCACAAAAGGTAATGTGCCAGTGTTAAAAAGTGAAAACTCCCACGTGGTCTCAGGCTTCCACTCCGGGGCAACGGAAACGTATTCGGGCTTCAGCACTAAAATGTGCACGTCGCTGCGGTTGATTGAGTCGCGGGTTGGGAACTGAAAATCGATTAGTTGGCAGCGTGGGTCCATCTCATTCTCATCTACCAGAAGTTCCTTCACAAATGGCACAGGCTCCTTCCTTCTCAAACGTTGCGCATCACGCATGGTTAGAGTCTGCCATGATCTGTCCGATTTGCGCGCGATAAAGAGCCTGAGAGGCTTCTTGTCGTCGACATATTTCTGGATTGCTCTAGACAAATCACGGACGCGCACGTCTTCTGTGCTTTGTTGTATCGATATTGTGCCGTCATTGATCACAACGTAGGCTAGCTCTAGCAGTCGCTCGGTGATCGTCATCTTTCATAAGATCGAGACAGCTTAGAATCTGGTTTTGATTGGTTATTATGGACATTATCTGCACCAGCACACAGCAAATCATTTGACTTGACTTCTGTATGTTTTGAGTCGCAATAAGACATAATCGATGATTAGAGGTCACAGCAGAAAAAGCCCCCGCGGCCGCGATATAAAAATAGAATGTCCTGCAGAGTGCAGTGCGCGGCTCGCTGGTGAGCTCGACGCTGGGCGGCGGCTCACAAATTCCGCGCGCGGCTACGCCCGCCCACTCCCGATATTGTGGCGTTGCCTATACTGAAATCAAGTTTTATTCTGACATTTGGGCCTCTAATACAAGTGGGATTGTTTTGAGTATGGCTCGCGACTAGCTGGTGCTCGCAGTTCATCTCAAGTTGAGATCTCAACTACCGAAAACGTCGTCACTCTTCGCGGTCAGCACCATCAGCAAGCAATGTCTTCTCTATAACAGTAATACTGTACTGTCACAGTATCCGCTTCCTTCCTCAATTGACAGTAGTACAACGTAGAAGCACCTGAAACGCCAGATTGGTGCAGACAGAATAATAATTCTGATGGCGGTCAAAGCCATCGAACTTAACTACATGGTGGCTAATGATGGCACTGTAGGGATACAGCGAGCTACAGAAGATCAGCTTGGTCACAACTTGGCCAAAGCAATTCAGAATGAAATTGCCTACGACCATCCACTGGGACTCTTCATCGCGCGCAAATCGGACAGATCATGGCAATCTCTAACCATGCGTGATGTGCATCGTATGAGAAACAAGGAGCCTGTGCCATTTGTGAAGGAACTTCTGGTAGATGAGAATGAGATGGACCCACGCTGCCAACTATTAATAATCGATTTTCAGTTCCCAACCAGGGACTCAATCAACCCCAGCGATGTGCACGTCTTAGCGCTGAAGCCCGAGTATGCCCCCGTTAAGTGGAAGCCTGAGATCGTTGAGGAAGCTTCACTTGAGATAGGAAAACTGTATTTCACGAATCGCTCAAGTGCTGTTAAACAACTTCAAAGAGCACATTGGGAGAACTTCCTCGGT